TGATAAATAGTTTCAAATTATAAATATTTATACTTCAAACATTTGGACTTTCTTTCTTGAAATGACATGCTGTGGACTCTGATTAGAAAAATAGCCAAAAAAGCTATTGTCGTTGTTCTAAGGCCTGAGTTTTGGAAGTAATACTTCCATTGTGCCAGTGTGCATGTGCATTGTGACTTCCTGTGATATGAAATATTATTTATAAAAATCTTCCTAAAAGAACTTATAATTGTTTATAATACTGACATGAATAGGCTTCAGTAGCCTTGTTACTATCTGTTGTCTAACGTAATTTCAACAGTTCTTGCCTTTCTGAAACTAATGTCAAAGTATTTCACAGTGCACATGCTTTGCAGTCTAACCATCCATTGAGATCCTTTGACCTCTCTTTGTTTCTGTTTTTACAGGCCCAGCAGGATTATAAAGATTCCTAAAATTCTTTTCTTTCCTACAGGGCAATAAAGTTCTATGTAGTCCCTTACCAGCAGTTTTGGTGTGTTCCCTGCTTTCCATCCCTAAAAATTTGTATGGTTTCAGCAGCAAGCCAAGGTTTTTAGTGAACCCTTCTACCATTCTCCCAAATTATTTTGCTTAAAATATTAAAAGCAGTATTTTTTTTGAGTAATAGTTATATCTGAGCCAGTACATCAAATTATTTGCTATATGTCCATAACTATGTTCCAGTCTGAAGAAATTAATATTGGTAACTTCATTTGCAATCAAAGGCTTCATTGCATGGTCCTTTCCTGGTTTTGTTGCAAGCATAAATAAAATCTTTATAGTGGAGTCAACAGCACCATCTTCAGCTAAAGCTGCATGCAGCTTTTCGACAAAAGTCATTAGTCCCAAGTGTTTATCATTTTTCCAAATGTTAACTATTTATGTTGAAATTTTCCATTTCTGGCACCTGCCTTGAACTGAGTAATTTAGAAAATTTCCATTAAAATGGTTCAACAGTGGAATAGTTGAATTGTCTTTTTCCTTTCATCACCTTCTTAATTTGGCGGCTGCACAAAATTTTTTTGGTCAATATAGTATTTTTACACTCTTCCAGAAAAATACATTATGCTTGAATTAAACTGTTTGATTGACATAACATTTTACCTCTACTGTTTCACCTTTTAAACAAAATACTTGGAAGTAAGAACTAATTCATAGATAAAATAGGTGTAGATTACAACATGGAGATTGTATTTTCATCTTTCTTCCTTTCTATGACTATGATTAGGTTATTCAAGTGGTATCTGTGAAATCCAAATTTAAATCCCTTTCTGATTGATTTGAAGCAGGAATTTTACCTTGGTTTTCCTTTTTTTCCCAAACATGTTGTGCAGGCATTGAAGTACTTAGTATCAGTCTTTTTATGGATACTGTTCCCTTGGCATAAAATACTTCAGTTGTTTATTGAAACAGGGACTGGAGCACAGGTATCATTTCTCAGAAATTGCAACCCAAATCATGAGGTCAGAGAGTTATAGTTATATTATCTCAAATGCAAAAAAAGCTTTGTATCCTATTATACCGTGTGTGTTTAGATATGTTACCTATAGAATTGAGTCTCTGAGAAAAATGAAAACTTTTTTCTGGGTGATGTTCCACTGAATGAAAGCAGTGGGTGCTGCAAACACATCGGTGTGGACGTCACCGTGCTTGCGTGAGTGAGTTGACCTGCATGACTTAGCTGTTTGCGTTACTATGCTTCTGAGGTTGGACTGTGTCTGTGAAATGGAGATGTTTCAGGTAAGTGATGGAAAAACTGAACTCATTTTCAAGTGCATTTGTAGTATGACTGGAATTAATTAAACACAGGTGCCTTCTGCAAGGTGTATTGTATCATTCTAACTCTTCAGAAGCATAGATAAAACCAGCATGGAAAAAAGGAGTGCCCCTGTACAGTCTCTCCTTAGTGTCAAGCACTTGTAGAATGCTCAGAGCTAGTTAGTGGGAAAACAGGCTCTTAAGGGGAGGATTAGGATAAAATGGCATTGGAACTGAAGTCAGACTTAATTTTGAAGACACCATTCAGAGACTTGAAACAGGTTTCTGTGATCACCCTAAATCTAGAAACGTTGGCCATTTTTTTACTTATAACTGTGAATGTTAATGTATTTTATGTTAATTATCTTACAAACCCAAGTGATTTCCCTACTCATTTTCCTTTTGGCAAGACCAGAGGGGTGCAGTTTTTATTGGCTTTCAACCAATATTACAATATACCACAATCTTCCATGTTATTTCACTAAGCCGAAATTCACATTTGCTATAAAGGCAAATTGAAATGTATCTCCAGACTAAGTTATTTTACCCAAAGACCCAAACTTGTTTTGATTGTGTTCCTCAAGAGCAGGGTTCTTTTTATGTAAAATAGTGGTTTATTCCAACCCTCTGCTGTATAAAATGACACTGGAATCTTCTATCAGTCATTTGAAGAGTGTCTTGGCTCAATACAAAGCCCTGTTTCACCAGGTAATAACGTAGATTGAGGCTGAAACAGCATTTTCCATAAAAAGAGTTTGTTTCACAGTTGGATTATCACATGAGTAAGACTTTGCTTGCGCGTAAGTTAAGATTGTTATAGATACAGCACACCTCACAAACCACAGAAACAGGGAAATTGAGAACTATCATCTAATATATGCCCACTCCTCCTTTAAAAGCATATACTTTTTTCATCAGAGTTGCCATACATACTGGCATGACTCCATTTTTGGTTTTACATTCATATCCATATATATATGAAATACATACATAGCTATGCAACTAAATTATTTCTACCATATTTCATAGCTATTTTTGAAGTTATTTTTTTTACTGCAACAGAGTAAAATGTTCATGAATGTAGCTAAAGGAGAGGAATAGAGGAAAAAAAATAACGGTGCCTGTCTTTTAGTTTACTGCAGTTATGGTAATAATAAAATGTTTGCTTGCAGAAAGGGAATGGAAGACAAAAAGTTTGTGCGTTCTGGTCTGCTATATTATACTGTGATAGCTTGGTATTATCAGAGATAGTATATACTGATGTCTCAAGGGGGTGTTGGGAAACCTATTGCTTTCTCATCCAGACTGAAGTGTCACTGTCCAGAGTAATTCTACCCCCTTGAAATGGCAGAGCTGTGTTTTGGGGTTTTTTTTAAAAGCTAAAATTTTGTGAAGTGGAAAGCAAAACAGAATTTAACTACCTTTTTCTTCCAGTATTGTGCTTCTGTCCTGGTAGTCTCATGGTGGCCTGGGTACACAGAAACCTAATAAATTATTTCAGGGTTTTTTAATATTAATTATTACAAGCCTGCAGCAGCATTTCTGTGGTATTTAGTAGCTTGAGCTTTGCTGTGCAGTTTATGCCCAGTACTGACGTATCTCCACAAGGAAGTATGGCTCACCAAGTGGGAAATAAAGCATTAAACCAAACACCCAGAATT